TCTTTACCTCTCCTCTGGTCTTTATCTCTTTGCAAGTGCTTTCATTTCTTTCGCAATTGGTTGGCATTGTCTTTCATTGTGAATTTGCACTTGGGTAATGACCAGGATCGTAACACTTCAGTTTTCCAATCAGAGATAGCACACGCATCCCCATACGCATAGCAGCCAACTGTGAAGCATTCACACTGTATCACATGATCGCAAAACAATGTCAGCACACTGAAAGACGTCAAAGAGAAGCAATGTCTTGCACCTTCGGTTGAAAGCCCTTTTTCCGCCCAGCCTCGTAAACATCTCTCAACCTGGTCGCTTTTTTCGCCTGCCTTCAAGGCACCCAAGGTAGTTTCAGAGCCCCTACAAGGCACTCGATAGACAACACGTTCTTCCTGCCTCTTCTGTTTTTGTTGTGATACTCAACAATACATGATTGCAGAGATTCCTCAGAGCTTGCCAACCCTAAAGCCTATGCCTGCGTAACGCTGTGATGAAGTACTCTGAGGAGTTTGACAATGGTAAGGCCTCCCACCATAGCTGAGGCATGGCACAGTTCCTGCAAACTCCATGCTGCTCTACTGTGGCTGGTGCTGCACTTGGGCCGTATTCACACTTGGAATTTCTGGACTGAATCCGACTGTAATTGTGGTCAGAATACGTCATATATGTCTGCAAATGTACTGGTGTGATTACACCCGTGGAATGAGTCAGAATCTGGACTCCCAGCATGTGCACGCCAGAATAAGCAGTCGTGTGCTTCTCTCTGCAGTTATGGTTCTCACCAAGGGCTAAGTGACACGGTCGTTCAGATGCTCATCTCCGTAAGTCGTCAGCTGGATTGAAAAGTCATCGTTCCATGTCTTTTCTCTGCCTCCCTTTCTCTTCTCAACTGTCTCCTCCAGTTTTTGACGATGTCTCCCCTCTCGTGAAGTCCTTTCCATTTTTCGAAAGGATGTTTCAGTCAGAGGTAGAGCTGTTGTCGCAGGGTTCACACTTTTATCGTCTGCTCTGTTCTCTGAACCTTGCCACAAAGAGTATCGTTTTCCCAGAACTAAGCATTCTGACAGTGGCCTGCACAACCTTTCTATATATGTAAATACTAAATAGTAAATACCTCTGACTACTGGGAGTTGTTGGACAACGGCATCATGGTCCATGCCATGACTGATGTTACTGATTTCTTACATAATGATGTTGTTTTCTTGCCACACCAGACTGTCGAAGATCATTCTTCTGGCCCTGTGCTGCAGCAGGACAACGTACCAACACACAGCAACCTTCTCCTTTGCACAGCTACAGAGCACAGACAGTGTTACACTCGGCTGTAGTCGCCATCGCCTCTGTCACAGTCACAACAATGACATGGTTTCTGCATCCATGTGTGTAGAGGATTGTCCCTTTGTTCCTGACTGCAGGCACCCTCTGCATCCAGGAACTTTATGTCCATTTTGCGGCCATGGGCGCTATACTGAATGCATGGCCTTCTGTGGTGAGCGTTCTTCCCTCATTTTGGCCTGCAATCGGCATGCCATTTGTCGGGAGTTTATGGTGGGCATGCTCAATGCCAGCCAGCATGGCAATTGTTGTGCTGATAATGCTCAACTGGGTCTTCCATGTGCTCATCCACCTCATCCTTACAATGTGTGTCGTCTCTGTCGTCAAGGACAGACTCGCTCTTGAGCTTTTTTAATCCTCTCCTTCGCCTTCACCTTCATTCTACACTCCGTACTTTCC